ACAGCCTTGACAATGTTTTTATTTATTGTGCTCAGTTTTGCCATGAATTTACCTCCTGACTGTGAGAGGGGACATGTCTGCACCCAAAAGTTTTACTTGTGTAGGCTTTGGTCTGTCTTTGAAGGCTTGATACTGATTCTCTGGTAGCATGGTTATGTCTGCTTCTGTGTCTGTTTTTAGTTCACAGTCTTGGTCATTTACTTTCACAGTTTCAATCCAGACATCATCAATCTCCTCCGTCATCACTGATCCTAGAAATGCGACTTGGCCTTCATCATCCTCATCGGCACACTCTTGCATAATGTCCTGTTTTTTTTTTTTGCGTTGGTTGATAATAACATCCCTGATGTTTACTGTGAGAAGGTGTTTTACCGCACCGGTTGCATTGTTGCATCCCTTTGTCACCTTTTATTGGTTTCCATTTAGCCTGAGGCTTTTTTGGCTGCCCTTTTCTCACAGATCTATACGGTTTAGATTGCGCTTTAATGCTGTCCACATTACAAGTATGACTTTCAGACTTTAAATTATTTTGAGCAAGTCCTGTTGTTTTTTTTTACCAGCTCATTCTGGCAAATACAGGTGACAGCTTTTTCTAGGGTCAGCTCTGGATCCATCTGTAGCTGCTCTGAAAGTCTTTTATCTCTTTTTAACTGCTAGTCGGTCTCTTATCATTTCACTGTGTAATCCTCCATAGCCGCAATGCTCTGCTAAACAACAGAGAACTGCAGTCTCACCAGTTTCTTGCAGTCTTTGGTTGAATTTTTGCACGTTCAAATGTGATATTTCCTCGCACAACAAAATGTTCATCATATGATCCTCTGCTTCATCCCCCATTGTGTAAATCAGAGTATTTCCTTCATGTTCCTCTGGTTGTAGCTCTAGTCCAGAAGCAATCCTCCATCACTCAAAGCGACAAATCCACTTCGGCCATTTCTCTGACTTAGTGAAGTCAAACTTCATTCTGACACCATGTCACATTGGAGCTATGGGCTATGTCTGATAAAAGACGGGCCCTATTAACTTAACATTTTATTTCCACTCTTCAACCAGAAGTAACCTTTCACCTCCACCCGGGGGTTTGGTCTGTATCCACGGTCATAATACTACGATAGCCAAAGCTGTCTACAATTAAAGCAACTTCCTTCATGTAGGCTACATTATGACAGCTGAGTAAGACGACGTAGATTTTTGTGTGTAACTCAAACTAACACTACCACTTGTGCTTGTCACACTTGCCAGATAAACATCAAACATCAAATAAATGCAAAAACAATAGTGATGTTTGCTAAAAAATCCCAAATAACACTTGTGTTCCACCTTCCTACATGTGAAGTATTTTAAGTTTTGGATCTTTATGTGTATTTCAACAAGACTAACCCAAGTAAAAATGTGGAGGCATTACTTTCATTCTTGTCATGGAAGATAACAGAGATACTTTCCCTCCTGAGTGTTATTTTTATAGATGTTCCGTCTTCGTAATGTGACTTCCCCACCCAGGAAACTGATGAACCGACCATTTCCTTAACAAGAAAACATACTGGAAACGTTTATGGAATTCATGTTGGCACAAGAATGCATTATTTTTTTTTTGATAAGTGATTTGAACTTGAGTAGTGTGTATTATGTCGGCGATGTTCAGTGACAGTGTACCAAAGCCACTTCACTGCTACGATACGACAACCTGCTGACCAAAACCTAATTAGTTTAAATTTGATGAAATACCCATCAGACATTCCTGGGGTTCGTTTCACAAAGCAGGTTTAGCGAAAACTTGGAGTCTGTTAACCCTGAAATGAGGGAAACTCTGAGGTAACTCAAACCAGAGACTGAGGGGTAACTCCAGCCTGTTTCACAGAGAGAGGTAACTTAAGACCTCTGCCAGTTACCGTAGTAACAGACTCTATGAACCTAACCTGGGGCCTATACTACGAAGTGAGAACAACATACCCAGGACATCTTTCAGAGATCCAGCTTGACTAACCCTAATAATCACACGCAGGATAAGCGGTCCTACGATGGTGGTTATCAGCTCAGTAGGTCAACCCAGGGTTGTCTGATCTGAGTATGAACACGTGCACATAAAATGTGCGGCATTATCAGCATCTGATCAATCACGACTATGGACAAGCACCGTTGCAGCGACCAAAGCCAGGAAGGAATGCTGGCAGAAAGCTGCTGACTGTGTGAATGCATCAGTATGATCACTGTTCCATCATGAAGGCATGTGTCAGACAATAAGCACATCTGAGGATTCCTTTTAGCTAATGTACTGCCTAATGTGGCCTATCCGACATTTTCTTTACTTTCAGCTGCAACCCTGGCGGCGTAAAAAAGACGTGTCTTGCCGGTCCTGAAAAACCCTCACACTCCTCAGTGATCCTTCACAATTCACGCTCCGATGTGTGGCGGGTCTTCTATAAATGCCGGTGATGCCATTTTGTTGAGAACTGCTTCGTTTTCTGCTCCTTCTGAAGTTTTATGGGAGAGAACTGATTTTCAGTGGGCGGTGTTTTTATACCCAGTGATCTCAACGTCCAACATAGCCTACTGCAGAGCAGGTTAGCTGTTCAGAGTAAGTTACCATGGCGATGTACCCTGGTAAGAAGTGAGCCACCTTCGTAGGACCGAAAAACCCAGGATTTTACCTGAAGTTACCTCGCTAACTCCAAATCCTGCTTCGTAGTACAGGCCCCAGGGCTTTGTGATGGCCACTTCAAAACATTGACTTTGTTGTCTTGAAGCCACTTTGTAACTAATCTGGCGGTATGTTTAGGGTCATTGTTCATTTGAAGACCCATTTGCTCCTGAGCTTTAACTTCCTGGCTGATGTCTTGAGATGTTGCTTCAATAATTCTACATAATGTTCTTTCCTCATGATGCCTTCTATTTTGTGAAGTGCACCAGTCCCTCCTGCAGCAAAACACCCCCACAACATGATGCTGCCACCCCCGTGCTTCACAGTTGGGATGGTGTTCTCAGGCTTGCAAGCTTCCTCCTTTTTCCTCGATGGTCATTATGACCAAACAGTTCAGTTTTAGTTTCATCAGACCACAGGACATGACTCCAGAAAATTAACATCTTTGTCTCTGTGTGCATTTGTAAACTGTAATCTGGCTTTTTTATGCTGCTTTTGGAGTAATGTCTTCTTCCTCTCTGAGTAGCCTTTCAGTCCATGTCGGTACAGGACTGGTTCCACTGTGGATAATGACTCTCTCTTACCAGCTTCAGCAGCATCTTCACACAGTCTTTTGCTTTTGTTCTGGGGTTGATGTGCACATTTCGCACCAAAACACGTTCATCTCTGGGACACAGAACCCGTCTCCTTCCTGAGCAATATGATGGCTGGACATTCCCATGGTGTTTGTACTTGTGTATAATTGTTTGAACAGATGGACGTGGAACCTTCAGGCATCTGGAAATTGCATCCAAGGATGAACCAAACTTGTGGATTCTGGCATCTAGCAAATAGAAATCATTTTGGTAATCCTAACTGACCTTAAACAGGATAAGTTTAGTCTGATTTAATGTCAGACAGTTAGAAAAAAAAAAGGTTTTATGTCTTTTTATACAGTATATGCAATCTTCTGGTTTCAACTACAAAACTTAAAATAGACTCGTAGAATATTGTGCGATTTTGCAAAAAAAAAAAAAAAAAAATCAACTCCACCTCTGCATGATATTAAACATTTAAATGCAATAATGACACATTGTAATAGATAATAAGAATTGCTAAAGATACCACATAATAGCACTCATGATCTACGTTTAGGTGCATTGTAATGATCAGACTTAGATCACTGAAATCTAAAAGAGAAGTCATTACTGTATCTCTTGCATTGGATTGCACAACAGGTGCTTTCCTCCTGAGTGTTCCTTCTTTGTAATATAGATTATATCACCCAGAAAACCAAAAAATAACCCAACAATTTCCTTGCCAAGATAGGGTAAATTACCGAAAACATTTTTCACACGTACACAGGCATCATCAATAGCCACGGCTGTCTCTAGTGTTGAGGGGTTATAAAACAGCAACCTGAACCAGGAATGTTGTGACAAACGGATTAACTCTGTCGTCAAAGAATACCAGCACCAAACTGAGATCCATCCTCTGTGTGAATGACGTGAAGACTTTGACAACTACATTCATTTCCTCAGGGTGAGATTACTGTAACTGGCTGTACCTGGGTTTGGGCCAGGTTTTTTTTGTCTTGTCAGCAGTTGTTTTATAATGCTGCTACAAAACTGGAAGCATTACACCTGGAACATCGCTGCAGAGTTGATTTTAAGCTTCTTTTGTTTGTTTATACAGCCATCCATGGTTTGGTACCTGGGTACATTTCAGAACTTTTCGACCTTTAGATCCTCAGAAAACTGCTTTTAAATGTTTTCATATCGAGGCTGGTGGATGAGAGACACTGAGCCTTTGCAGTAGCAGCTCAAAGATTTAGAATAGCCTTTCTTTTTCAGTGAAATGTTCCTCCTCCATTAACTTTTTCAAGAAAGATGTCAGGATGCACATGTTTTTAATGTCATGTTGTTGCCATTAAGCATCTTAATATTTTAGTGTTTTATATTCATTTCATTTTGCAACTTGATCTTTCAGGTTGTTATCCTGTTTTGCCTCGTTTTAGTATTTATTTTGCAAATTGTGATTCATAAAATTGAAATAATCAATAAACACTTAATTATAAAGGCGTTTATTATACGTTAACAACGTAACTTAATACCTCTTACACAGGAAATCACAAACTATGAAGACTTAAATATTTATTGATAATAATGAGCACCAATCCAGGCTTAAGTTCCACAAATAACCAAAACACAAAGAAATTCTCGATTATTCATTCGACACTTACTGTCATAACAGTTCCACCTTTGGTACAACATTGCACATCTATTCAGCACCCATCAGTTATAACAAATGCATATAGGAACATAGGTTTTTTATGAAGGAGAAAGCACTCTAGGTACCCCAGAAAAACTAGTTAAAATCCCAAAGTATCCCCAGCGATACCGTGGGCATATTACAAAAGCTTCCTCCCAGTAACAAGCATATCAGTTTAAGATTTATATCTAGGGAGAACAGAAACCAGAACCCTGTAATGGCTCCAATGTGTTGCAAATCTGTACACCAGCAGAAATATAAATATAGAAATGGTTTAAAGCAATTTTTTTTCATTCAACATTATATGCTATATATATATATATATACACACACACACACATACATATATACCATTATCTTCCTGCAGCAGTAATTAGAAGAAAAAAACAAGCAAACACTAAAATAACGGACTTTATTACAGTTCCACATTTACAGTGCAGTGTCAGTTCATCTCATTTACTTCCAAATGACAGAAACCACAACACTGATCCAGACAAAGTATGATGTGGTCAGAGCACGCCCTCCGGTGGATGTCGTGGTCGCTGTAGTCACAGGAGCCACAGTGGTAGATTCTCTCGCCTGTCCCACACACGTTCCCACATTTCCTACTACGTCCACAGCAGTCAGCTCCACATTCGGTGAACAGCAGGAGGCGCTGTAGGTAACCACTGTGATGTTCTCACCTCCGGCTCCAGACACTGTGCTGGTATTGAGAGTACCGTTCCCTTGGCGGACAGTGATGCTCTCAATGCCGGTTCCGTTGATGCCGTCGGTGAAATTTGCGATGAATTCCCACTGAGCGGATGAGCAGAGTGACGAAGAGGAGGGACAGTTTTCTGATGTACTCACTACCTGGCATACTGGGCGAGTGACATCTGTTACCTGAAGACACAAAGGAACAGACAGGATAAAAGTCCAACCTGGGTAGTTCATGTACTTTAGTTGTTCGTGATGGAAAACTTTGCCACATTATGATTTATACAGTAACAAAAAAGCATCACATTATAAAGGAAAAATAAAGCAAAAATTGGCAATGTGGTTTGAATTCAAAAGAAAACGAACAAAAACAAATTGTGATTTTACTTACTGGACCATTATTTATTACAACAATGGTGAAAGTATCTTGCACATAAAGTATTGCTTGCCATAAACCCCTTAATCACTCTGAATTTACACCAAACTACCCATCTTTTACTCTTACCTTGGCAGTCACAGAAAACCTGAGCACAGCATAGTTGGTGTCAGAGGCATCGGCATTTTGCGCCTCAATGGTAAGAGTCACGTCTGTTCCTGATGCAGCACTGGATGGAACCGTTAAGGTTACGGTGCCGTTGGCTTTACCCCCATTGCCTGCTTCGATAGTCACAGTGCTCGGTGACGTCGAAGCGTAACTGCGGTCGTTGCTGGCTTGCACTGTGAACGTCCCGGTTGCAGAGCCATTTACGACTCCATTGACGGTTGTGGCGACTTCGAAGAAGATGGAGACAGTGGAGCCTGGCTCGATACTGGTGTTGTTGACTTGGGGCTGGAGAAGTGGAGGGAAAGAAGAAGATAAAGTAAGTTGGGGATTAACATTGTATTTCCTCACTGCACGTATCTGTTGATATGACCTCGAAACAGACGCAAAGAGAGAAGATTTACCGTCAGTGCAAATGATTATCCTGGTACCACACATACAACTGCTCATTTTACCAGATGTTCAAAATGTGTGTTTTGTCAATCACTCAGACGGTGACTGTTCTTACAGTGACAGAGATGCTGGAGGTCTTGATCTGCGTGGAGGCTTGTCTCTGGAAGCTGCTCGGTGTGGATCTGGAGGAGGAGCTGCTGTCTTCTCCTTTTAGGATCAGCACAAAGTTACCCACAGGGACTCCAGTAAATGTCACCAGGTAGTTACCGCTCCCTTCCGACTGCGTAGGACAAGAATGAGAAAACATGTTGACGTGTGATAGAACGGCAACAGATCGGTAAAATCATACTAATTCGACTGTTTTTAAACTCTCCAACAGTGCATTGAAGGACATTCTAGTATTCGAGATATGAAGATCAGCTGCTAAAAACCATAGTGACGACATCTAATGCTTTCCTTCAATGCAAAAAATCTAACATCTATTTTCTTTGCTATGTATAAAACGTCTTTAGCACATTACATTTCCGAAAAAAAAGTCTTTTCAACACTTGCCTGTATTGATCCGATGACCGTAATTGGCCCCGAGCTGTCAAAAAGAGAGACCTCTGTGACATTTACGGTGTCACTTCCCGTCACGGTGACCAAAATGCTGACGTTACCCCCTGAAAGTTGTAACAAGAAAAGTAAGCGTCGATGGAAATCACTGTGTGTGTGTGTGTGTGTCAAGGCGCAAACAACGAAGACTGGGAGGCCTAGGAATAGTCAGAATAGTTTAGTTTGAACTTTACTGATAAGATCATAATAAAGGGCACTATTGCCACATTTTTCAAGGACAATAAAATAAGATTTTTAGAAGCAGATTATGAGTCTTTAACAAGTGTTGTTCAGGAAAATATAAGGGGAAAAAAAAAGAAGAAAAAGGCTGCCTTCCAAATTGCTTACTTTGATTTTTTTACGTACTACAGCTGCCTATACAAAGTAGGCTTCATACAATGATGCAAACCTCATAATGTTGTGCCTTAAACTTTCAGAAGTCGGGAGAGGAGAGAAGTGAGAAAGAGGTGAGACGTGAGGAGAGAAGAGAAGTGAGTGAGAAAAGAGAAGTGAAAGAGAAGAGACGTGAGGGTTGCTTGCACAACCATTGTGTAACGGTTGATTCCATCGTGTAAGTATTGATCTGATACCAATGTGGTATCCATACCGCCCACCACTATACCGCATTTGACGTGCTATCTATTGGGAGATATTAAATCTTGTTCTGACATACCATCTAGTCTTGTCGTATGGGTGTCGAAATACACTTTTCATAACACAGTGTTTACCACATAATAACTGTACAAGCTATAAAAACGAAGATGACAGTGAGTATAAAGCTGGTCTGACCTGAAAGAGGACGTCCCTCCTTTAGACTGAAGTCACCATGGGCTCCCTCGTGTGCCTCCACAAGGTTATAAATGATGCTTACTGAACTTTGACCTGACGAACACAAAAAAAATAGATGTATGTTGTCCAGGAGCAACAGATGACACAGACTTAAAAACTAACATTTTTGAAGACAATAACCTGATCAATGGCGAATGTTAGTCTCTGTTATATATATTTACTTACCTGTGACCTTTACAGAGTAGGGGTCAGAAGATTCAATTCTGATCTGCCACTCTCCTGTGATATTGTCAGTGTTGAGGCTTAAACGTCGTAGGTTTCCAACTGTGGTGACAGTTGCCAAATTACCAGAGGACGGACTGGAAGTCTGAGTTTCACCTGGAGAAGGAGGAAATGTCACTGTTGTCTACCAGCGCAGACATATGTAAAACATATTTTCAACTATAGAGGGAGCAAAAGGCTTCAAGGAACATCGGCGATAACGACACCTGTGGGGCTGGTGAGAACGAAGGTGAGCGACGAGCTTCCCGTGACGTAGGCAGTTATGTTCCTTAAAGAGCCGTCAACAGTAAAATTAAACTGAACAGGCACTCCAGGACTTTTCACAACCTGAAAAACTGTCACCTGAAAAAGGAAGGAGCAGAAACTTTATACATACAGCATCGTCTTCAGGCAGATGTGGGTTTCTTGCTCGATGTCTTACCACAGCGCTGGCCGATGAATCTTCTATAACGCTTGTGGCTGCAGAGAGGTCTGACTTGGTGACCTCAATGGTCTGACCCCCAGAGGCCCGAGCTAAGTCACGGTACAGCTGGGCGTCCGCCTGACTCATTGCACGTGAAGCCCAACCCTGAGAACTTCTGCGGCGCCGTCGACTGGCCAAGACATCAGTCAAAATGAAAGTAACCTGAAGGTATGTGGATTAAAAACATGTAAATGCTGTACTAGACTTGTACACATGACATACAAATAATATGATTACTTCTTTAAATTCAAACTTTCTTTACCACAGACTTGGAGCTCTCTATAAGAGCCGTGATGGTGCTTTTCAGATATGCATCTTTAGCCGGAGCATCAGTGAAGACAAAGATCTCAGAGGACGATGGAGCTGCTGTCAGGGCAAGCTGTTCATTGTGTACAAGTCAGTATAAAACGTTATGAAAAGTGGTTTTGAATTATGATTTCAGAAAACAACTTGGAAACTTAAATGTGAATTAAAAAAGGACATCATCTCTTTAAGTACACTGGTGTCATGACAATTTTGTGAAGAAATGTTGCTGTCCCATTTGAAAATGTTATTAGCCCAATAGTGGACAAGAGTTTTCTGTATTGTTAGCACCTGCAGGCCAGACAAGCACAGCTCTGGAACGTCTCCTCCTCCACTTGCAGACAGCCTGTTGATGTTGTCTTTGAAGACATCTGCATCGGTTGTCACAAGCAGAGGCCCAAAACCTGGACACAGCAAACATAACAAGAACCACCGTTTAAATATCAATACTCACATTTAATGTGAAAACTGGAAACTGACCTCCAGAGGCAGCATACGGTCCTTCATAAGGTCTTTCTTCCTCTACAACTAATTACAAACCTGTGAATGACCTACCTGGGTCATTGAAAGGTACTAATATGTAAGCAGAGGGTTCCTGTTCAGTTCCTCTCTTGCTGTCGATGATCTCAAACGAAACCCTCTTTGCTTCAGCAATGTCGTCACTCATGCTGCCAGTGGTGTCAATGACAAAACACAGCACAGTTGACTGAGAGAGGCCCATCAATCTGCATAGAGAAAAACAAAAAACTTAACTGCCTTTTCATAACTTTAGTAAGTGTTTCCTATCTGGGCTATCCTGAAGCGCATGGATAGTTCATCTGGCAGTGATCACCACATGATTTTTTTCGAGACGTGTCTTTATCTTCATTTCCATATGATGCTGCAGCTCCATCCCCCCTACATCCATCCTATGTTAGTCATTTATTAGTGTTGTTGTGTGGGGCCAAACGGTGCCTACAAAAAGTATTCACCCCTCTAGGAAGCCTTCCCCTTTAATTGTCTTTCGAATCATGGTCATATTAATTCGACTTTTCTGGGGGAAAAAAAATCAAATAAATACATAAATCTACAAAATAGTGTAAATTAATTTGAATAAAAGAATAAATAAAATAAAATAAGTGATGGCATAGGTATTCTCCTTTGTGATTCACCTTAATTTAACAAACAGCCAATTGGTGCTAGAAGTCACAGAATTAGTGAAACGGAGATCATTTCATGTGTTTTAAGTGATTGCACTTAAAGACACTTGTATCTGGTGAATCAGCACTCTTGGCTATAACTACACCATGAAGACAAAAGAACACCCCAAAGGTTACTGTATAGCATAATTCAGGGGATGGATGCAAGAAAAAAAATCCAATTCACTGAATATCCCTTGAAATATCCATTATTAAGAAATGACAAGACTATGGTACCTGGTAAATCTACCCAGAGCAGGCTGTGAGTGGCCGTGCAATAAAGAGACCACTGAGGGAGGCCACCAAGACACCACGACTCCTCTGAAGGAGTTAAAGTTAGATGAGTTCATTTAAATGAGGTGATTACTTATATTTTACACGATTGATATTACTTTGTAGAACTTTGTTTTCAATTAAACACAAGGCTACTTTTTATTTGTAAATTTGTATCAATAAAAAGCCAAATTAAATTGATCATGATCCATCCATCCATTATCTATACACCGCTTAATCCTCATTAGGGTCACGGAGGGCTGGAGTCTATCCCAGCCGACGTAGGGTGAAGGCAGGGGACACCCTGGACAGGTTGCCAGACTATCACAGGGCTACACTTAGAGACAGACAACCAAGCACACTCACATTCACACCTACGGACAATTTAGAATCACCAATTAACCTCAACATGTTTTTTGGACCTTGTGGGAGGAAGCCAGAGAACCTGGAGAGAACCCACGCTGCAAAGAAAGACTCCGGTGCCCCCACCGGGACGTGAACCGGCGACCTTCTTGCTGCGAGGCAACAGTGCTAACCAACTGCACCACCTTGCAGCCCATTGATCATGATTTAAAATGGAAAAGCAATGAAAGGACAAATCTTCCAATGAGGGTGAATCCTTTTTATGACTGGCTCACATAGAGCTGGCCCATACCGCAGGAAATTCTTGTCTCCAACAGCTCGTCTGATGTCCTCCAGCAGCTCCATAGTGGCATTCACAGCCACATCGGCTGCTTTTTGGTGAAGCGAGCCGTGACTGGACCCGATGCTGTCCTTATTGATGCCCCCCACAGGGTCCCGCTTGCTCGTCTGGTCAAATGTTCCACCGTGGCTGCACTTACCTTGGAGCAGAGATAAAATAATTTACATGTTATCATATTAACATCAGGAAACAGCACTAGTGCACATGATTCCTTAAAGCTACCATCAGGTTTTGCTGAAGAGAAGATGTTGAAGTAGCCTGAAGTGAGGAGACCCTGCTGCAGCAGGTCGGGCAGGAGGTTGTCCGTACAGTTATCTCCTGTACAATTTCTGCAGGTTGGAGTACTTGGTCCTGCAGGGAAGTTGTCAAAGAAAACACGAACATGTCATGTAATACAATCACAAAAATCTAATCTGGAATTCATCTGAAGATATACCGTATTCATTTTTAAATATATCATATCTTCAATTCAAGTTTCTAAATTAACATTTAATGTTGTTTATTCCTGAATAAATTGTGATCACTGTAGTTTCTACATCTTTAAGTCTCATGCTCTCTGTGGGCAGTAAAGTGTAGGCTGTGTGTTGAGTAAATCTGAACACATATTGTGTAACAGCGTACTTATTTTCATGTGGGGGTTTAGTGCGTGTGAAGAATTTCCTAACCTCCAGGTGACATGTACATCCACAATGTGTCTACTGTGATGTTTCACTGAAGCGTATACAGTCAACATGACCAACTATGCATCGTTCTTGTGAAAAAGCATTGTTGTTGAATACACACTGACAGGAATGTCCTACCGGCCAGGTTCTCTAGAGGTTGGTCCGGTGTGATGAGAGCACTGTATGGAGCATTGTTCCCCAGCTCCACCCAGTTACTGTGGCTGTAGAAGTCCTACATATATAGAATATGACATTATTTTTATGACATCACAACTGCTTTGTGTTTTATTTATGTACCATTCAAGGTCAGAAGCAGGTGACTAAACAGTCTTTAACTGACCTGTAGGGTGTGAAACACCCGTCCCAGAGTCCACCTTCCAGCGACAAAGTTCTCCAGCTTCACACTTTGCTTCACAGCAGACACACCTCATCATCACAACACAACAGAGTTAAATGCAAGCTGAACCAGGCAAGATGTAAAAATACACTCATTCTCCAAGCATTAAATAAAACTTGTAGCTGCTACTACAGTAAGTTTCCCAACATGTCTCCTCTGCCTGCAGCTTCTCTTTCCCTCCCTCTGTGCATTATTGCAGGAGTCAAGACAACAGCCTGAGCAGCTTCACCAGCTGCAGTTCATCCAAATCATCAAGCCTGCTTTCAATGCTTAGCAATCCATCTCCACTCCGCCAGAACAAAGCCTCTGTTCATGTTGTCAGTCATGTTTTAGTAATTACCCATTCTTGGCGGTTCTTTCGCCCAGTATGCTTTGATTAACTCCTGTTTCCCTGCATCTTTCAGCTCCCAGCCCTAAGCTCAACCCCTGGCTCCTAGTTTACCGTCCTAAGGCCTCAGACTCAGGCCCAGGCTCCAAACACCCAACCCAAACCTTCAGCTGTAAGCGACTTATCCACAGAAATGTCGTCCAACTGTCACCGCCTTCACTACACCTCACACCAAGCTCCGAATATAAATCATCACGGAGGCTTTCTATGCATTGAGGTCTTTAACAGTTACTTCTACAGTATTTCTTTACCGTTTAGCAACACTAGGCTGCGAAACTGTGGATGTTTTATGGTTCATTTGGATTAAAATTGGCAATTTACTGTGACTCTGAAACTTCATTTTGCTCTTTTGTGTAAAGGTTCTTTTTGTTTTTGTTTTAACTTTCTATATATTTGCTTAATATGGAGTAGTGACAGTGAGAAATTAAAAAAAAAAAAAATTATTGCTATTTTAAAAATTATTTTAGGGGTAAAGGAAAGCATATGGAGTAGTGAGAGTGTGGAATTACAAAAATAAATCAATAAAAGAATAATAAAATAAAAGTGAAAATAAAAATAAGAATAAATCAAATAAAAAATAAATAATGTGGCAATATAAAGCAATATTAATCAAAAATAAATCAATTAAGAAAAGGCTAATAAAAGCAGAAATATAAAGACAAATAAAGAAAATAATAATAATTATTATTTTAAAAATATTTTTAAAATTTGAATTTTTAATTAATTATTTTTTTTATAATGTCGCTTTAAATTTTATTAGCCTTTTCTTTTATGGATTCATTTTTGATTAATAGTGCTTTATATTGCCACATTATTTATTTTTTAAATTTTATTTATTCTTCTTTTTATTTCCACTTTTATTTTATTATTCTTTTAGTGATTCGTTTTTGCAATTTGGGACTCTCACTGCTCCACAGCTCAATGCAGTTGAACATTCATACGTTTATTTGATGTTAACTGATTCATCGTTGTACCTGCTGTAATGATATCCCGCCCTCCCTCGAATCTCTCGTCGTCGAAATGGTGGTCCTCGCTCAGCACATAAACCACGTCAACGATTGCGTTGCTGAAGTACATGGTGGCAATAGAAATTCGGAACATGGCGGTGGAGAGGACAGACGTGGAGGTAGCTGTGGATGAACAAGCCCTTTGCACCTTGTCTGCTGTCAAGCTGTCGTCAATCTGGAGACAAAGTAATCACAAAGAACTGTAAACGCATGTTGGAAAGACTGGACTCTGACGTCTTTGTCTTTACAGATGTTTGTACACTGCATTGTCTGATTCTGAGATTAAGAGTGGACGACATTTTCTCTTCATTATCTTAATTCAATTTCAATGTTCTCCCAGTCTATCTTCTGCTTTCAGAGTGGCTTTCCAACTCACAGTCAGGGTGAAGTTCCGTCCGTCAGAGGCAGCGATATCTCGGCACACCTCGGCTGTTTTTTTGAGGCATGCCATTTGTGTGAGCTGACGGTGAGTGATGGACTTTCCATCAAATGTGAAGAGTGGATAGAAGCTGTGAAGGGGACCAGGCAGGCAGAGGACCACCACCAGGAGCATGACCGTCTGTCTGGCAGTCATGATGGAGGCGGAAAGAAGAAGAAATCTGGCTGGATACGGCCTTCTGTATTGTTATTGCTACTATAGAGACAGCAATGGGTTGTCAAAGAAGGAGACCTATGCAGTGGAGCACAGAGAGCTTCGTGGCAGTGAACCAGGTGTAACGGGGCGACAGCTAGCGAGTGAAAACACCTGAGGAGGAAGCAGAGAGATCAAATCAGCAAAAGGCAGAAAGCATTAGTGCCACATGATATTGTGCGATTACATTAAAACTGGAATTTGTTTCTGAAGTTTTAAGACTGGCATAGACACAGTGGGCATTGTCAAAGCACAAATATCTCTATTTAAATTAAAAGAGTTTGAATCAGTGTTTAACCTAATCTGAAAGACATCAATCATTTGTTCAATTTAAAAAAAAAAGCACAAATATGATGTAAAACTACTACAAGTACAGAAGATTAATCTGATACTGTAGCTCTTACCTGCGTCTTCTGCTCCTTGGCAGCCCACTCTCAGCAGCTGGCACCTCTTCGGTGTTACTATGTTAAACTCGGGCGTTTACACTCGCTTAGATTAGATTGTGTGCAGACCTGTGTGTTTTATGAGTTGTCTGAAAACTTCAGGGGCGTGTTTATTCTGACAGACAGTGCATGTGCCTTCATTCCTTCCTCTTATAGTTGCGTCTGTCTTCAGCTGATGAATAGAATTCCGAGGAACAACTCCCACATGAGCTGCATTTTTTTTTTTGCAAGCGTGCATGTTTGTGTCTGAGTGAGAACATGGGTGTGTTTGTGTGTTATCAGTAATGCATTTTTATACAATACAAATGAGCTTTTTTGTGTGGCAAAATCAAGTCCATTTAACAGCATCCATCCATCCATCCATCCATCCATCCATCCATCCATCCATCCATCCATCCATCCATCCATTCCTTTCAGAGCGTCACACCCAGAACAGGTTCCTCATGTACTGAGTGACTAAAACAAGCAAATTCATCATTCAGATAAGCTAATATTTTAAGTACAGAGCTGGACTCGTGGCATGTTTAGACTAGCTTAGCATTCATTAGCATAGCTCAAAAACACCATACTAGCACCTTTCTAAACCTTACAGAGATAAGATATTATATCATGTTTGCCCTAACAGAAGTTCAATCATCACAATTCCAAGGGGAGCTAACATGCTAAAATTATTAAGTAGTTGCAAGTTTATCTGCCTTTAGGTTTCACATACAGCTCCAGCTAAAACCAAGAAGTAGGTACACTGACATTTTCTGGTGAAATTTGCATAGTGAGATTACAGCCTCAAGTGAGTCATGCAGTTTCTTGTAATGCTGAGTAGGCCTTTTCCTACACAAACACATTCAGATTTGGAAATCTACTCCTTCCACACACATGGACAGATCCTCCCTAGCTGACCCATGCAGCCCTCAGTAAATGGGATTCCCCTTCCTCTGACATTCCTCCATGACATGGAGATTTGTCAGTGATGATAGCTATGATTAGGAGGTAAGGACCCATCAGACATGAGGTCCTGAAGCCAACAAGGTTTTATTTTTAGCAGCCTAAAAGTGATGACATGCATAAGGATCAGAGGTGACATTTAGCTCAACTGCATGATGACATATTTAACACAAACACCTTAAAGCGGGCTGCAAGGTGGCGCAGTTGGTAGCACTGTTGCCGGGGGCACCGGGATCTTTCTGTGTGGAGTTTGCATGTTCTCCCCGTGCAGCGTGGGTTCTCTCCGGGTTCTCCAGCTTCCTCCCACAAGGTCCAAAAACATG